GCCTGGAACTCTGGACCCATCTGGTCCTGCTCTTCCTTGGCCTTTTGCCTGGGCCTCTGGATCTGCTCTTGCTTTTATTTTTGGGATGCACTCCCCTAACATTTCCCTGACAAGGGGTAACCTGCAAGGCAGCAGGGAATGGGGCTTTAGGGTGTCCCAGGCTCACCTTCCTTGGGATTTGCTCTGATCCCAGAATCATGTTGTCCCTGTCCGACATCCCTGGATACAAGCTCCTTGGCCCCTACTGATGCCATCACTCCTTGGGACTCTTTTGGGCCCAGCTCTTTCTCTCTCTTAGCCCATGTTCTCACTAGCTTTCATGTGACCCCCTTCTGGGCTCAACTCTTTCCTTCTTCCAGGCTACCTCTGGCCCTGGGTCTCTTACCTCTGGGACCCCTGGTCTCAGTGCTGTCCTGGACCCTCCTCTACATCCAGTGGCCCTGTCTCAGCCATCCTCATTCTGGACCTCAGTTTCTCTGGCCCCTTCCTCTCTGTCTGTGGCCACACCTGGACCTTTGGCCTCTCCTAGGCCCTGGCCCCACCTGAGGCCATTTGAGAACTCCATGCCCCTCTCTGGCTCTGGCAGTCTCCCACTATGGCTGCCTCCAGCCCCTCTCTGGCCCACTAGTAGATCAATGAGATTCTATTGGGGTCAGTTCTCCAGCCTACCAGCCCACACGCATTCACAAGTACACTCTCTCAGGCTCCTCAGCAGGTCTCTTAGGCTTTCAGTCCCTGTCTCTGGGTTTATGCACTGAAGTCTTATCCAATAAGCCCCTCAATCTGGCCTCCCCCCAGACTTCACAATAAATCTTATGCTTTGAGCCCCTTGCCCTGGATTCACCTACACATCACAATAGGTTTTCTGCACTGAGCCCTCACTCTGTGCTCACCGATACCCTGACCTGGGTCCCTAGGAACCTCCTCCAGCCCCTTAGTTCCTATCCAAACCTCCAGACATCTTTAGGTGTGTCGTGGAACAAAATGCCACGCTAAAATTTGATCCGAACACTCAGTTTATTAACTGCTAGCAGTGAGAGAAGCTGAAGCAACTCTGCCTGGGTGTGGTCAGGCTCCAACTTTTATACAACAATGTAACCAACCTGCGCACACAAACAACGGTACCATATGTGGCCAATCAGGAAATGGAATCTTTATGCTGGCACATCACAATACTTTTCCACTATCCTTATACTTCCCGCTCACTTCTGTGCCTACGTAACAAGCTTACTCAGAGTTAATGGTCTCCGGAGCCATCTTAGGTGACTGGCTTCCACAATCCCTCCTTTTGGCCAAGCTACGCTCAGGCCAACCCAGAATGCTACCATTAACTTAAAAGATCTTCCCAGAGCCACCCATCCTAGCCTTCAGACAAGCACCGAACCTCGCCAACCTCATCACCAGAAGCAAACTTCCTCAAGCCCAGAACACACCAAAAGGATCCAGACCGTGCCATGACAAGAAATGCAAAACCTGCCCCCACATCTCCACCACCCCCACTATTATTACACCCCACAACAGAGCCATCAGCATCCCAGGATCTTACAGCTGCACCTCCAGGAATGTAGTATACCTCATCCAATGCACCAAATGCCCTGATGGAAGATATGTAGGAGAGACCAGACAACAACTGCGCACCAGAATGAACGCACACCGGAAATCCATCAAAGACAGAAACACCCAATTACCGGTGGGGGCACATTTCTCACAGGAGGGCCACTCTCTCTCCAATCTCTCAGTCCTGATCCTCAAGGGAAACTTACACAACACATCCCAGAGACGAGCCTATGAGCTCCATTTCATCAACCTGCTGGATACTAGAGATCAGGGACTAAACATAGACATTGGATTTTTGATACATTATAATCTGCCTGGCAACTGACTCCCCAGCCCAGCCCGGCCCCTGGCTTCTTCACTTTTCATTCCATCCAGGAAGAGCACACACCGACTGCTGCAGCTTCCTGAGCCTGACGAAGGGTTTTTGAACCCAAAAGCTTGCTTAATAACTATTCTCCAACCATTTGGGTTGGTCTAATAAAAGATATCAAATTCACCCAAGGAACCTTGTCTGTCTATTACATGTAAGAGAGAAACAGAGTAGGGTTTGACTGTCTTCTCTAGTGTTCCCCAAGGGAGGAGGCCAGTCATTCCCCAGTGCTAAGGACAAAACTTGAACACGAGTCAGTTTCACTAGCATTTATTTCCCGATTTGCGTTGAAACTTTGATGTTCATAGATTCTAGGGTCGGAAGGGACCTCATCGAGCCATCTAGTCTGACCCCCGGCCCCTGGCAGGCAAGAAAAGGGTCACCAAACCTGGGGTCATGTGATCCCAGCCAGGTACCTGTCCAGTCTCCTCTTGAAGACCCCCAAGGATGGGGCTAGCACCACCTCCCTTGGAAGCTCATTCCCGATTCTTGCAACCATGTTATCTACATGGCTGTTAGTGGTCGTAGGTAAATTGAATATCTTCTGTAAATGCTTATGAAATGTCCCAAAATGAGCCAGTGGGAGGTGCTATAAGAACATTCAACAAAGACACCTCTTCTGGCTACTGTGTATCACGTCAGCGCTGCGGTATAGTGGTCTGTAGCAAGAAAAATCTTTTACAAATATGTCTATCTGATGCACTTAAAATCATATAAGAAAGCATGCAAATATAAGATGCAGCCCAATCCAAACTCTGTAGGTAGCCACATGATCCGTGGTCCAAGAAAAGGTCTGGTGGAAAACATGAGAACGTAATGAATTCACAGCCTAATCGACCAATGGAATTAAGGTCCAAAGTTTGAGGCTGTTTCACTAGAAATGTTCTCTTTAACATGTCTAGTTTCCTATGTTATGCCTGTCATAATATATGATCACTGTGGCCAGGTACAGACATTACATATAAACAGGTGTAAGTGACTAAAACCCAGTCTAAACCCATAACAGTATAGAAGTTCAGCACATAGACCAATTTAAAAATGGCAGAACCTGGTCTAAGATTTCCATTTATGGAAACATTAAAAAAGGGGTGAAGGGATTTGAAGGTAAGCATAGGAAACTACTATCTGAGGGTTATAGAAAAGCTAAAAATGATAGTAAACTTATGTCTGGGGCATTTCAGGAAGGAGAAATCAAGACAGGTGTAAATGGTATCATTTGAGAGTTTGAGAGTTTGTGCTCTGGCTCAACTCCATCTGGCCCAGTGTCTGTCCCAGTCTATGCAAACTCTCATTATTTGTTATTTGCATTGTGGGGATGCCTAAGGACTCAATCAAGGATCAGGACTCTTTTGTGCTAGGTTCTGTCCAAACATTGAGCAAAAAGGTCCTTAAAGGCTTAGAATCTCACTATAAAATGGGAGAGAGAAGGAGAATACAGCGTCCAATGGGAGAGCACCAGGTAACCATGAGACAGTGATGAACAGCATAATAAGCAGAGGTGACAGGGCAGCAGTTCCCCGACTACTGTTGATTTGTGGCAGGCAGATTTTAATGCAGGGTGGCGGGGAAAAGGGGATCCCTTATACAATGTATAACATGAGAAAAAGTGTGAAGTTGCTTGTAGAAAATTTTGACAAATATATGTTCAGAACTGGCATTATTGGTGGAGTAAGGCTGAAAGTTGAAGTCTTGATAGCACGCAAGATGTGAGAGAAGGTAGGAATAAACCATGGAGGGCCTTAAAAAGAAAAGATTGAATACATTTATATTGAATGTGATGGAAGGGAAAGTAGGAGTTAGGTGCTTCTTGTGGCGTATTTTTATGGTGATATAAATAGATGGAATAAAATGCACTGCTCTCCTGTGCATGCACACACTCATAATTCCTAGCCATATGGTCACTTTGCTGCTGTGTTTATAAACTGTGTTCAACTTCACTCATCTCACCTAGGGAATGATTTACTGTAGCAGAATCTGAGAACATCTTGAGAAGGGCAACAAAATGGTTTAGAGGTGTGTAGGATTTGCATTCAGAGCTAGATTGCTTCCCTTGATTAGCACGAAGAGAAGAGGCAGAAATGGATAATACTGAAGGGTGTATTAAACACACTCAACAAAGGAACAATTATATAACTAAAGAGCAGCACATTTACAAGCACCTTATAAAGGAAATTTGCTGTTGAAGGAGCTGCTACTGTCACAAATCATACATTCTTTAGCAGACTTAGATGCATTTGTGCAGTTCCTTGTGATATTATATATTATTATTTGTATATCAGACAGGACTTTTATAATACTTTATATGGATGTACACTTTACTTAACTCACATGCTAAAGATTAATTATTGGTAACATTTTTAAGAGCCAGCCATCATAAATTCTATCAGTTCCAAATAGAGCTTTTATTCCTAAATTACTTATATGTTTTTGACATGTCTACCTAAGAGTGCAAGTAACAATAAAAAAAAATGCACACAGGCACTCTCCATGTTCAAAGATGTTGCTTTTGTAAGTCAATGCTTTATTCCCTGAATTATACTAAAGAGAGTCTGGGCTGCTTAAAAAGAACATGCATTGTCTATGAGTGCTGACACACTTACCAAAATACATTCCATAAAGAAGACTTCTGTCCTAGGCTTTTGTGAACTAAATTCATGTTTTGAGTGAAATGAAGAATGTTCAAGCTCTTATGTATATTCGGGGCTATAGAAAATAAATATATAGCATGAGATGAAGAACTTCAACACTGTATTTTAATAATTATACATGAAAGCAGAATTGAAGTTGCAGATGCAACCTTAACTGTGTTATTTCCTGGCTTTTGAGTACTTAACCCTGAAAATGTGACATCCCTTCCCATAGTTTATTGTATGACATATCATTGTAATTCAAGGTTCTCTCTCATTTTTCCAAGATCTAATAAATCTGTTATCCACGTGACTAATGCACTCTGTATTTTCTTTTTAAATTTCCAATTTAAAGAAATGTTCTCCCTGTGAATAGTTTAGCTAATTTGAAATTTGTAACTGGTCGTTATAATAAACCTTTTTTTCTTTTCTTCAATTTTTTTCAGTTTGTTTTCTTTGTTGTCCAAAAAGCACAACAAAGTTCTGGAGCAAGCCACACAATCCTTGCGAGGTTCCCTCAGTTCAGACGACTCTCCGCTTCCTGATTACGTGAGTATTTGAGCTTGTGTTTTAGCAAATGTTTCAAAATAGAAGCAGCAACATCCCTAAATCTGCAAAAGTTTATCAAAGTGTGTGACAACCAGGCAACCACCAACACCAAAATGTAGGAACCTCTGTGAATGACATCGTGTCTGAAACTTAGTAAGAAAATGAAAAATACACTTAGAAATGGCCAAACAAAACCACAGCTATTCATAGCTAAGAAACCTACTGTAAGTCCATCAGCTTGCAATTTCAAGACAGTTGTAATTGTATGCATTTAATAGATATTGTTAAAAACGTTATTTTTAAAATAGTTTTTTTGGCATTTACCAGTAGTTTAAATGCTTGAAATATTATGTAGATCAGTTCAAGCAAGCAATAAATCTCTGAAACCGCAAAACCTAGTATATTTTGCAGTCCTTGATTAAGCTAATATTTTCTGAACATACACACACATATACAAAGTTAAAGGATGGTTTTAATCCTGTTCTAGTAAGCCAGTGTCTGTACGTAGGCAGCCATTCATAACTTAATTGCATGGCTGCCAGAAAACATCTTGCTTGCTATTCTGTTAATCAGTGCAACAAAGAAACTTCTTCCAAAGTCATAAGTAACAATATAAACATATTCTCTTCAAGTGTCTTTTGTTTGTATTGATTTGCATCACTACCTCTTTATATTTATGTACAAAACTGCTTTTCCCAGATGTATGAATTGCTGCGAGTTTGACCATTGAAATACAACTTGCATCTTTGCCTTGTTTTAATAAGTCTTCTGGAAACCATTTTTCCCAGGCAGTACATACTGCATTGCTCTATCACCATGTATTTAAAGCTGTTAAGACTATGTCATCTTATCTAATAGGTCAGGTTTTGAGGTCTCACGATAGATCATTTGAGTGGCAAGGTTTTTGTCCTGCATCTCCTGGTCAATATTTGTATGTAGTGCTTCAAACCAGAGACATTTTGTTATTCAAAAGCAGAATGCAGGCCAAGGTTATTGAGTCAATAAATCACCTGCTGTTTCTTTCTATTTATTCTTGCCACCTGTGATGCCATATTTCGGAGGAACTTCATTACAGCACCAGTGATTTTTATGATATCTGATTTATTGGTTGTGCTTTCCTGCAGTCGCACTCGAACATATGTGCAGTTTTGGAATTCCTAGATACTATATTTAAAAAAAACCAAAACAAAATCTACCTTCTCCCAAAAATAAGGAAGTATATCCAGTTTATCTTAAGGATGCAACCAGAATCTAAAAACCCTTTCATCTGGATAACCATGAACACATGAACTTGTGGGTTATGGAGGGACTTCCAAAGTAATTTGGTCCAACTCCCTGCACTAATGCAGGATGCACTATTTCTCAGCTATCTTAGTCAAATGCCTATCCAGCCTCTTTCTGGAAACCTCCAGTGAAGGAGATTCCCTCAGTGTCCTTTAGATGTAGAAATACTTTGAAATGATTTGGTGCTATAATTCTATTAGCTTTGAACTAATACCCGCAATGGTGTTAAGAGAGACAGCTGCTAGAGATGGTATTTGTGGATACAGAATTAACCGTCCTGAGCATTGGTGACACTGGTCACTAAGAATGTAAAGTTATTTCCCAGAGGTGATATAAACCTCAGTGCTTTGTAAAGTTTTAACTAAAGTTATTAGATCACTTCATGTTCCAGTTCCTTTAGTTACAGGAGTCTTTGTAACCTACCCTGAATTCTTGTGTAGACTTGCTTAGACTGGTTTCAGATGAGAAGTGACTGTATTTTCACCATAGTGACGTTATCAACCTGTCTCTCTCAAATCTATCTCGCTGGCATATTTTAGAGTTGAATTAGCTAATTAAGCAAGGCACTGGAAGGTGTCTGAAAGCCTGTGTAGGCTAGTGAAAAGTATTTTAACACTAACATATATTTTTAATGGCTGAACTAGAGCTATGTTTGGCCTAACCTGGTTGTCTGGAAGGTGTTAAATATCTTGTCATAGGAGAAGATGCTTAATTTATGAAGAGACCCTGGGATTCTCTCCTCTAGGCAAGCAAAATACCACTGTTAAGAGGAAGAGAAGGTAGCATAAAACATAAGAATGCTCTTTAGGCTGTGACTTTGGTTTGGTGCTGGATATCGAATAAATGCAGCTGGGAAATGATCTGGAGATACATATGCAGTCATTCCCTCACAAATGGAGGGAGGAAATCATTCTACTTCTATAAGCATGGCTGAGATAACACTTTAAGGTTTAATACAGCAGAGATTAAGGCAATTCATTACTAGAAGCAGTGGGGGGAATTCAGAAAACGGGCAGAGGTAGAAAGGCTGAAAAGATGTATGTAGGAAGGAATAAAGAAACTTAAAGCTTTTAGCTGGTGTTTTAAAAAGGAAAATGTACTCAAGCTAGTGGCCTGATTTTTTCAGAATCACTTTGGATTAAGCTCAACCTAAATCTCAGTTGATTTCATTAATGCAGACCAGATGTCACACACTAGTTCAGGGGTGTGCAAAATGCAACCTGCGGGCTGGATCCAGCCCACAGAGGGTCTTTGTCTGGCTCACGGTGGATCCCTTGGTCCCACCTGGCCAAAGCATTGTCTCCAGCCCATGGCACGTCCTGCCGCCCCCGGGCATGCAGCAGGGCTGGGGCGGCTCTGCAACTGAACTACCTCTCTAGGCAGCCCAGGTGGCAGCAACTCCTTTCCCCTGCCACCACCATTGGTCCCAGCTCTGTGGTACCAGCGACACTGGCCCGCCCTGTGTCTGCTCCACACCACCTGCCCATGCTAAGCAGTGGCACCAGCGGGGTAGAAGCTGCTACTGGCGCAGAGGAAAAGCAGCCCCTTCCCCTCACTGCTGCCAGGCAGTTCTTACTGCAGCCACCCAGAGCCCACACCCGGGCTGCCCTGCGGCTTCTCTCTGCTGCCGTCACTGCCACCTCTGAGTCACCCCGCAGGGAAGTGCTGGCACTGCAGTGGAGCTGTAGGGCAGCTTGGGCATGGGCTCTGGGAGGCTGCAGCAAGAACTGCCCAGCAGTGGTGAGGGGGAAGGGCCACTTTTCCTTCATGCCAGCAGCAGCTTCTGCCCTAAATTCTAAAAAAAGTTAGACATGTACAAGTCAACAGGGCCAGATGATCATCATGCAAGAGTACTGAAGTAGCTGGCCGAAGCCATTGCAGAGCCCCTAGCAAAACTTCCACAATTCGTGGTACTCTGCAGAAGTTCTGAGGACTGGATGAGGGCCAGTGTTGTGCCCATCCACAAGAAGGGCAGGAGGGACGACCTGGGTAACTATAGGTCAATCAGCCTAACTTCCATTCTAGGGAAAATCCTAGAAAAGCTCATCTTTTAAAGGAGTCTATCTGCGATAAGCTTGCAGAAGGTAAGATTCGGCCAGCATGGCTTCGTCACGGGTAGGTCTTGCATTACCAACTTCGTCTCTTTCTATGACCAGGTAACTTACCACCTGGACATGAAAAAGCAGATTGACATTGTATACCTTGACTTCCAAAAGGCCTTTGATCTAGTATCCCGCAATGTCCTTGCAAGAAAATTGGAGGATTGTGAGCTTAACTCCGAGACAGTCAGGTGGGTGAGAAACTGGGTTCAGGATAGGACCCAGAGCGTTGTAGTGAACAGATCAGGGCAATCCTAGCAAGAAGTGGGCAGCAGTGTCCCACAGGGGTTAGTGCTCAGTCCAATACTTTTCAGCATCTTTACTAATGTTTTGGATGTGGGAGTGAAGAGCCCACTGGCCAAGTTCGCAGGTGACACCAAATTTTGGGGGAGCATGGGCACACTTGAAGATAGGCTACAGATGCAGGCGGACCTAGACAGGCTAGCAAGTTGGGCGAATTGGAACCAAATGAAGTTCACCTGAAGGGAAAACCAGGAGTAATGTCCACAAACTCCAGGAAGATCAGTTCAGGCTCAACATTAGGAAAAACTTCTTCACAGTCAGGGTGTCCAGACTGCAATAAGCTCCCTCCAGAAGTGGTGCAATCACCTACCCTGGAAATCTTCAAGAGAAGACTAGACAGTCACCTTGCTGGGGTTACCTCGCCCCCAGTTACCTTTCCTGCTTGGTGCAGGGAACTGGACCTGATGATCTTCTGAGGTCCCTTCCAGCCTTACAATCTATGAATCTATGCCTGGCTGCTGCTTAGTGTGGGTGGGTGATGTGGAGCAGGCATGGGGCAGGCTGGGGTCAGAGCTGTGCACGCGAGTGCCAGCTGGTCTGCTCTAGCCGGGGTGAGTCCAGAGTGGGTGCAGGCCAGGCTGAGATCGGGGCTGGGGCTGCACACTGTGAGCGGTGGTGGGGAGGAGCCATAGGGTGCATGAGCTCTGGGCTCTTGGGGGAGGGGTGCTGACTGGCTCAAGGGGGCGCACCTGCTGGTTTGCTCACACACGTGTAGCCTCCCCTGGACCAGCTCCTTTGCAGCCATCCCTTCTCCCCCGCTGGGCAAAGCCATGCTAATCCTTGGGCTTGGAGGTGGCAGCCCCAGGAGCTCGTGTATATTGCACCTCCTAGCCTGGGCCCTGCAGCCACTGCCACCACTACTGTGGGGTCCCACTGGCTTCCATAGCAACGATGGGGGAAGTAGGACTGTGGCAGGCCTGGGCCCAGGTGTTCCCTGTTGCTAGAGGAAGGCAGAGTGGAAGCTCTAGTAACCAGGACCGTGGGTGCTACAACCCACCACCAGCAACAGCCACAGCCCTAGGACTCAGCAGGCCTGTCTGTCCTGCCCTGCGCATGGGTAGGGCTGTCACTCTGACATGTGCTTACATGCATGTCTGTGTCCCACACACACCCCACCATACCCACACATCCTTCCCCACAACCACACCTCTCTGATACACAGTCACACCCCCCACAAGCAACACACACACACACACACACACACACACACACACACACACACACACACACACACACACACACGCTATACAGGATTAAGACTTTATTTTGAGCTATTTTGGGTCACCTCTGTATACACTAAGGAAATGCACATAA